TCATCCAACGACGGATTGTACAGGGTCAGTGATTATCTAGAGGGCAGCCCGTCCTAGAGACGGGGTTTTTCTTTTCTGTCTGCTCAGCCCCCTTCTCCCCTTACATGGGCTCTGTCCCGAATCTGCTCGCCACTCTCAACAATCACCAGACGCCTGACACTGCTCACCACCTGATACTCTCACCAGATGCTCACCACTTACCTCTGCCACCACTGCCATTTACAGTGAGGGAAAAAAGTATTTGATCCCCTGCTGATTTTGTAAGTTTGCCCACTGACAAAGAAATGATCAGTCGATAATTTTAATGGTAGGTTTATTTGAACAGTGAGAGAGAATAACAACAACAAAATCCAGAAAAACGCATGTCAAAATTTGTATAAATTAATTTGCATTTTAATGAGGGAAATAAGTATTTGACCACCTCTCAATCAGAAAGATTTCTGGCTCCCAGGTGTCTTTTATACAGGTAACAAGCTGAGATTAGGAGCACACTCTTAAAGGGAGTGCTCTTAATCTCAGCTTGTTACCTGTATAAAAGACACCTGTTCACAGAAGCAATCAATCAATCAGATTCCAAACTCTCCACCATGGCCAAGACCAAAGAGCTCTCCAAGGATGCCAGGGACAAGATTGTAGATCTACACAAGGCTGGAATAGGCTACAAGACCATCGCCAAGCAGCTTGGTGAGAAGGTGACAACAGTTGGTGCGATTATTCGCAAATGGAAGAAACACAAAATAACTGTCAATCTCCCTCAGCCTGGGGCTCCATGCAAGATCTCATCTCGTGGAGTTGCAATGATCATGAAAACGGTGAGGAATCAGCCCAGAACTACACGGGAGGATCTTGACAATAATCTCAAGGCAGCTGGGACCATAGTCACCAAGAAAACAGTTGGTAACACACTACGCCGTGAAGGACTGAAATCCTGCAGCACCCGCAAGGTCCCCCTGCTCAAGAAAGCACATATACATGCCCGTCTGAAGTTTGCCAATGCACATCTGAATGATTCAGAGGACAACTGGGTGAAAGTGTTGTGGTCAGATGAGACCAAAATGGAGCTCTTTGGCATCAACTCAACTCGCCGTGTTTGTAGGAGGACGAATGCTGCCTATGACCCCAAGAACACCATCCCCACCGTCAAAAATGGAGGTGGAAACATTATGCTTTGGGGTGTTTTTCTGCTAAGGGGACAGGACAACTTCACCGCATCAAAGGGATTATGTACGGGGCCATGTACCGTTAAATCTTGGGTGAGAACCTCCTTCCCTCAGCCAGGGCATTGAAAATGGGTCGTGGATGGGTATTCCAGCATAACAATGACCCAAAACAAACGGCCAAGGCAACAAAGGAGTGGCTCAAGAAGAAGAACATTAAGGTTCTGGAGTGGCCTAGCCAGTCTCCAGATCTTAATCCCATAGAAAATCTGGGGAGGTAGCTGAAGATTCGAGTTGCCAAACGTCAGCCTCGAAACCTTAATGACTTGGAGAAGATCTGCAAAGAGGAATGGGACAAAATCCTACCTGACATGTGTGCAAACCTGGTGGCCAACTACAAGAAACGTCTGACCTCTGTGATTGCCAACAAGGTTTTTGACACCGAGTACTAAGTCATGTTTTGCAGAGGGGTCAAATACTTATTTCCCTCATTAAAATGCAAATCCATTTATAACATTTTTGACATGTGTTTTTCTGATTTTGTTGTTATTCTGTTTCTCACTGTTCAAATAAACCTAACATTACAATAATAGACTGATCATTTCTTTGTCAGTGGGCAAACGTACACAATCAGCAGGGGATCAAATACTTTTTTCCCTCACTGTACCTACCACTCAGCTGACATTTCACCATTCCAAAACACCACCCACAAGACAGCTCACCACTCATTAGACACTCACCAGTCACGCCCTTTGTTCGCACCCACCACCCTATACCCTCCTGAAGCTGAGCAGATATCACCCACCAATCACCAGCCACCAGCTTCATTATTCACAGACACACTCACCAGACACACTCACCTAACACTCAACACACTGCACGCCTATGACAAGTCAAGAATTTGAACTACTACACCACTACACTGGCACACCTCACCGCTACACCACTACATAAGCGCTATACTACACCACGGCTACACGACACCGCTACACCACAACAGACAACACCACACTACACACCGCTAAACAACACCGCTATGCCACTACTCACCACTACACACAACTACACACCGCTACACCACCACCACAGCACACCAATACACCACTACACACCACTGCAATACACACCGACACACCACTACACTACACACCACTACACTACACCACTACACTACAGACCGCTAAACCACACTGACACACCACTACACCGTTACACTATACCACTACACACCGCTACACACCGCTACGCGACACCAATATACACCACTGCACCATACCACTAGACCCCGCTCACCACACCGACACACCACTACACACCGCCACTCCACACCAGTACACATCGCTAAACAACACCACGCCACTACACCATCACTACACCGCTACACACCGCTAACACTATACGAGGTCTGTGTGCGAGTGGGTTACTGCCGCAGCCCAACAGGCGCACGTTGCTTCTCGAGCCGACAACTACCGGTCAAAGGGGACTTCGGCGAATCCCCATCCATCGACTTTTCTCATCTTGCTTCAATTCACGTCGCGCCTCGACACAAGACGCCCGACGAGGAATGAACACATTTGTCCAGCAGAATCGTGCGATGAGATGACCCGACGAGGATGATGGCACATGGTGAACGTGACGATGTGTGTAATAGACGGCGGTGACAGTGGCAGTGGGTGGTTTATGATGATGAGTGCGAGGGATCGGTAGGGATTCTAGATTTGAAACTTTCGTGACTGCAAGGATTTGTACTCTTTGGATTTTTCGGTAAAGTCACGTAGGTATAAAATAAAATAATATAAAATAAAATAAATTAAATCACGACGTTTCGGAGGCAACACAAGCTTCCGTCTTCAGGTGGAACCGTTACAGCCAAAATCACTGTAGTAAGTGAAGAGAGCTAATAGAGAAACCAAAGAGTATGGGTAGGGAAGTTTTGAAGAGGGATGATGATGATAATGATGGTGTTAATGAACGGGGAGAGGGGGGGGGGAGTTGAGTAAGTAATGGAAAATCTGTGTTTTAATGGCAGAACAATTCATGAAGAGTGAGGCTGATTGACGTGTCGGGGCAGATTGTTCCAGCGTAAGAGGGCCAGAAGCGAGAAGGGAATGGTCATTGGGCACAGGCGGGAGGAGGAGGAACACCAAATAACGTTTCCAGTTCCTTAGATTTTTTGACAATACTGTACTACTGATTTCGATTTAAAGCTTTCGTGACTGCAGGGATTCATCTTCTTGGTTCTTTCGGTAAAGTCACGTAGAAGGGAAATGATAAAATAATAAAAAATAAAACATAATAAAATAATTCTCACGACGTTTCGACTAAAACGCAAGCAGCCGTCCTCAGGTGAAGAATGAAACACCACCAAGCTTGGAGCGTATATTTAAACTGGGTTGGAGAGTATATACAGTATATAATGTAATGTTGGGTTTGTCTGTGGTAGTATATAGTACGGGGTAGACCCGTGTGATGCAAGAGAAAAAAGTTTATCTGGAAGCATATTATAATTTTTGCGACGTAGAATTGTAATCTATTACTTACTGTTAGTAGCTCAGCTTATTGGAGAGTATATTTAGTCTACTGCTGATACTATGTAGTTTATACTTTTTTTTACGTGGTGGTTTACTAACTGCAGCAACATACTATTAACATTTCTTCCTTTGTTAATGCTACCTCTATCCCCTCCCTTTGATGCTGCTAATCCTGCATAATGCACGGGCATAATATGACTTTGAAACCCCCCACCCACCTCCTACGCATTTCCCATAAATATGCTAAATTCATCTTGATATGCAAATTATTTTGTCAAGGCGCTCTTCTTCCCTCTCCAACCCAGCTTAAATATACGCTCCAAGCTTGGTGGAGTTTCATTCTTCACCTGAGGACGGCTGCTTGCGTTGTAGCTGAAACGTCGTGAGAATTATTTTATTATGTTTTATTTTTATTATTTTATTATTTCCCTTCTACGTGACTTTACCGAAAGAACCAAGAAGACTGTACTACAGGTTTCTTCCTGAGTGTGTTGTTTTTACATCGTCTATAAATATACGACGTGTGGCAGTCATTTATTCCTGGAAGGCGAGACGACGAATATTGAAGCGATAGGTGGAGGCGAAGACGGATATCGAGATAGGTGACGATGACGATGCCGTGTGCGGGGTTGAGGTGACGGAAATGAGGTGGTAGTGATGTTAATAATATAGTGAAGTGTTTTCGAAACGACGACTCGGGCGGAGAAGTCAATTGGAGTATAACTGCGCCAGGATCAGCGAACAAGGCAGCCAACACCGACGCTGCTCAGAGAGGTAGTCCGTCACACGCTAGACTACCCGCGGTGTGCGTTAAGCAAAAAAAAGGTGCGTTAAAGCGAAACCTGTTTAGGCGTGCAGATGCAGGGTGTTGGAACGTGCGGTAAAACCCATGGGTGACGAGGCACGGCAATGAGTGTGCGGTAAAACCCATGGGTCACGAGGCACGGCAATGAGTGTGGTGAGTGAGTTGCTTGTGGTCCTCTCTGTTTGGCGGTTTCCACAGTGGCCGGAGTGCAACCGTGCGAGGAACCTGGGGAGCCGGAGTCAGGGAGGAGAAAGTTCGAGCACGAGTCAAAAACTGCATCCGACCGCCTTCGGAAATCGTCAGCGCCATCACTTTTTACCACTGAAACGAGCACAGGGCCATGACCATCGTCATCTTTTAGAGAAAGTGCATCAGCGTCAACAGTGCGATCCGATTGCCAGTTGCGCATCATATCGAAAACATCGTCATCGTAACTTTCATCAATCTAGATTTTAAGTTTTCGTGACTGCAGGGATCCATACTCTTTGGTTATTAAGGTAAAGTCACGTAGGTGAAAAGAAAAATAAAATATAAAAATAAATAAAATCACAATTATCATCAACATTTGAATGAAACGTTTTTAACGGTGTGTTGCAATTCTGAGAAAGTTTTGACTCGCAAAGGAAGCTGGCAAAAAAGCTACTACCGCTGAATTAAATACCGATTATATTAACCACTCATTAATACTTACATTTCTCCAGTGGTGAGGTTAAAGGGTACCAAAGCTACTTTCAACCGGACCCCTCAAAGTCATGGTAAACACAACCAAGACGTTGCAATGCATCGACTATCACGGCTACAACTGCAGCGGGCCGAGCCTGTCGGAGAAAAGCCGACCGATCATCCTCATCATCATCAGCTTCTTAATCGTGGTTACGATCTTCAGCAACATGCTCATCATCAGCTCAGTCATCATCTTCCGGCAGCTGCAGACTCACACCAACATCCTCGCGATGTCTCTCGCCGTCTCCGACTTCGGCTTGGGGTCCATAGTGATGCCCCTGCGCATGGTGGGCACCGTGTACCACTGCTGGTACTACGACTACAGCTTCTGCAACGTCCTATACTTCGTCGACTACACCCTCTGCAACTCGTCCATCTTCCACTTGAGCTGCATCGCCTACGACCGCTACGTGGCCATCTGCGACCCACTGCGCTACGCTCAGCGCGTCACCAAACGCACCCTCGTGGCGATGCTGCTCATCTGCTGGTTTGGGGCGGCGCTCTTCACCTCGCCAAGCCTGCTGAGCTTCAGTCCCCAGCTCGTGCCCAGCGCCATCAAGAGGGTGGGCTGCCCGGACGACTGTCTCTTTAGCGTCGACGTCAGCCTGCACTTCTTCTACGGCGCCTGCCCCTACTTCCTGACCATGCTCGTCATCACGGCCATGTACGCGCGCATCTACCACGTGGCGCGCACCCAGGCTCGGCAGATCAAGGCAGCGACCACGAAGGTCCAAGGCCAGCAGAGGGAGAGCAACATGCGACGCGAGCACAACGCCACGGTGACTCTGGGCAGTATCATTGTAGCTTTCTTTCTCTCGTGGCTGCCCTTCTTCATCATCGTGCTCGTCTTCCCGTTTGTCGGGAACTGCGACGTCGAGTACGAGGTGGCCACATGGATGGGCTACGTCAGCTCGGCCGTCAACCCACTCCTCTACGCCTCCTTCAACCGCCAGTTCCGCGGCGCCTTCCGCAAGATCCTCAGTCTTCGGATTTTCAGGGCGGGAGAGAGGAACTTTCAGTTGTCCGAATGAAGCGCGGGTTGCGTTTCTCATTGCGATACGCAATCCCTGGGTAACCATGGCCTCTGTGACGATGAGGAAACGTCACTTCATCTTCTTGGTTCTTTCAGTAAAGTCACGTAGAATGGAAATAATAAAATAATAAAAATAAAACATTATAAAATAATTCTCACGGCGTTTCGGCCACAACGCAAGTAGCCGTCCTCAGGTGGAGAACAGGTCTGTCGAGGAGACAGAGTCTGAATGACAAGCCCCAGGCTTGGAGCGACTATTTAAGCTGGAATGGAGGGGCGAAGAGCGCCTTGACATACCTGCATTTCCCATAAATATGCTAAATTCCTCTTGATATGCAAATTCATTTGTCAAGGCGCTCTTCCCCCTCCAACCCAGCTTAAATATACGCTGCCAAGCCTGGTGGTGTTCATTCAGACGCTGTCTTTCTGACAGACCTGTTCTTCACCTGAGTACGGCTGCTTGCTTTGTGGCCGAGACGTCGTGAGAATTATTTTATATTTTTTATTTTTATTATTTTATTATTTCCATTCTACGTGACTTTACCGAAAGAACCAAGAAAACTAAAGCATAAACTACATAGTATCATCAGTATACTAAATATACTCTACAATAAGCTGAGTTACTAACAGTTAGTAATACATTACAATTCTATGTCGCAAAAAATATAATATGCTACCATCTTAACTTTACAATCACACGAGTCTACACCGTACTATATACTGCCATAGACAAACCCAACAATAAATTATATACTGTATTGCTATACACCACGCTATACCTTATACATTGTAATATTACACTATGTATTATTCTACCCACCCTAATGTATATCACACTGCTGTATATTCACTATACAATTACGATACTATATATTACTTTGTACATTGTATTAAGCATTACAATTTTATACTATTTATTATTTTACAATCCGCTATACACTGTACCATTGACCGTCATGTGAAAGATACTAAGAGGAAGCAACAAAATATGTCAATGGGAGAGTAGTGGGGGGGAGAGATGCAGCGGAGCAAATAATCCATTCCCTGCGGAGAATACAATGCAGTATATAGTGCGGTGTAGACTCGTGTGATGTATGAGAATAAAGTTTAGATGGTAGCATATTATATTTTTTGCGACATAGAATTGTAATGTATTACTTACTGTTAGTAACTCAGCTTATTGTAGAGTATATTTAGTATACTGATGATACTATGTAGTTTATACTTTAGTTGTTTACGTGGTGGTTTAGTTACTGCAGCTACATACTATTAACACTCCTTCCATTTATTAATGCCACCCCTATCCCCCTTTGATCAGAGGCGTAGCGAGGGGGGGCAGGGGGGTACATATGTCCCCGGGCGCCAAGGTAAAGGGGCGCCAAAATGAGGCTTACAACGTTACATTATAACTTATTGCGGCGGGCGCGGCAGCCTGAAACTACTGCACAAATCTACACCTCAACCTTAAAGTTTATATATCTCGCCACACACAGCCTACATGTCATGTAATTACATTTTGGTGCGCGCGCCTATTAAGAACTTACATGGAAGAACGTCCCAAACAACAGACAGGCGCAGTCTTTCAGCCTTAGTCAACAACGAATATGTGACAAAAATTACAGAGCATTGTTTGTCAATTGTGACAACCACAGCTTAAACTTAGCAGGAGTACACTCAGCTAAACAGGATCCACTTATCACATTTATTGGAACAGTCGAAAGTATATATTTGTTTTTCTCTCGTTCAACAATTCGTTGGGAAGAGTTAAAAAAAGCTGTGCCCATCACAGTAAAGTGGGAGTCTGAAACACGCTGGAGTGCACGATCAGAAGCTGTTAAAGCTATCTATGAAGGACTGGATGAACTAGTAGGGCTGCTAGACAAATTATCGGAGGACGTAACTATGACGCCTGAAACCAGAAGTGATGCAGAACAGTTACAGGCATGCGTATTAAATTTTAACTTAATAGTTTTATTACATTTCTGGAATGTCATTCTTGGAAAAATTGTTCGTGTTCAGAAGCACTAACAGGATCCTACTATGAAATTCAAGGAAGCAGCAAATGATCTTGAAACTTTGGAGCATGAATTTGTCAAGCTTCGTGATGATTTAAGCCAAGTTGCTGTAGAAAACGCCAAAACAAGATGCACAGCCTGGGGGATAGATGTGGACAGAATAATTAGGCGACGTCGGAAGATGCCAGGACAACTGGCAAGAGATGCAGGACTTTCAGCAGAAGAAGAAAGTGTGCGCGTTATGAAGAGCGTATTTTATCGACTTCAACAGGAGATGTCAACACGGGTTTTACGACTAAAAGACCTGAAAACAAAATTAGGATTCCTGTTGGACGTCAAAACTCTTCTATCCGACACAGATGTCGATGCAATTCGTCGAAATTGCACAGCTTTTGGAAATTTCTATGACACCGACATCAATGGCCACGAACTTTTCAAAAAAATGGTAGATTGCAAACTGCTGCTCAGTAACCGGAATGAAGTTCTACCAGAAACTCATTTGGATCTTCTTGGATTTATTGTGTTTTATGGAGACGACATGTTTCCGAATTTGCGAATTTCACTGCAAATTTTATTAACAATAGCAGTTTCAATTGCAAGCTGTGAGCGGTCGTTCAGCAAATTGAAACTTATTTTGTCGTATTTGCGTGCTTCAATGGGACAAGATCGTCTCAGCGATCTTGCTCTTCTTAGCGTTGAAAGAGAAACATTGGAAAAACAGATTTTGATTACGTGATTGACCAATTTCTATAAATTAGCTTCTTTAAATACAATGTTTCATTAAAATTAAAATTGTTATTCCTTATTCGATGTAATAGGAAAATGTGATTAAACGGGGGGGGGGGGGGGGGGCGCCAATTTTATAGTTCGTCCCCGGGCGCAAAATATCCTAGCTACGCCTCTGCCTTTGATGCTGCTAATCCTGCATAATGCACGGGCATAATGACTTTAAACCCCTCGCCAAACCTCCTACGCATTTCACAAGTAGTACTAATCGCATATCTGCATTTCCCATAAATAAGCTAAATTCCTCTTGACCGAGAAGATGGATTCTGGTCCAGTAATCATTGGAAGGACGTAATAAACCATTTCGGATCTTAACTGATTGGGTTCACGTTTACGGTGACTTTCAGACCGCATTCCACTCACTTTCATTGAATATATACCTTGTATTCTCCGCAGGGAATGGATTCTTTGCTCCACTGCAAGTCTCCTCCATCTACTCTCCCATTGACATATTTCGTTGCTTCCTCTTAGTATCTTTCACACAACGGTCAATGGTACAATGTATAATAATACATAGTATGAAATTGTAATTCTTAATACAATGTACAAAGTAATATATAGTATCGTAACTGTATAGTGAATATACAGCAGTGTGATATACATTAGGGTGGGTAGAATAATACGTAGTGTAATATTACAATGGTGTATAGAAATACACTATATAATTTAATGTTGGGTTTGTCTATGGCAGTATATAGGATGGTGTAGACTCGTGTGATGTAAGAGAATAAAGTTTAGATGGAAGCATATTATATATTTTTTTGCGACATAGAATTGTAATTTATTACTTACTGTTAGTAACTCGGCTTATTGTAGAGTATATTTAGTATACTGATGATACTATGTAGTTTATACTTTAGTTGTTTACGTGGTGGTTTAGTTACTGCAGCTACATATTATTAACACTCCTTCCCTTTATTAATGCCACCCCTATCCCCTCCCTTTGATGCTGCTAATCCTGCATTATGCACGGGCATAATGACTTTAAACCCCTCGCCAAACCTCCTACGCATTTCACAAGTAGTACTAATCGCATATCTGCATTTCTCATAAATATGCTAAATTCCTCTTGATATGCAAATTATTTTGTCAAGGAGCTCTTCGCCCCTCCTTCCCAGCTTAAATAGTCGCTCCAAGCCTGGGGCTTGTCATTCAGACTCTGTCTCCTCGACAAACCTGTTCTCCACCTGAGGACGGTTACTTGCGTTGTGGCCGAAACGTCGTGAGAATTATTTTATTATGTTTTATTTTTATTATTTTATTACTTCCATTCTACGTGACTTTACCGAAAGAACCAAGAAGATGAATCCCTGCAGTCACGAAAGCTTTAAATCGAAAATGAAACGTCACTTCCTGTAGTTTTAGACTTTGCTGGTACGTTGGTATGATACCGCACTATTTGCAAGACTACTTGTCCATCTTGTATCTACAGTGGTCTCTCGGTGAACGATATTAATTGGTGCCACGAAAACCATCGTTTATTAAAATTTTCGTTAATCGAATATATGAAATAAATGTTAAAGGCTTCATTTGTTCCAAGACGATCAGAAGTTGACCTTTTTCACCCTAAAAACATAGTTTATTATATTTATACATGCAATATTTATAAATAAACGTCATAAGAACGTATTACCTAATTAATATAAACATGGATAAATAAGTAACAGCATAAAAAGGTGAATAAATAGAGCATGACATATCTTAGGCTAAGAAGATGGATGGCTTAAGGAGTTTATGGAGAAGTTGGGGTGGGAGAAAACTTTTCCTTACTTTCTTGTACTCAAATTGTAAATTGTTGTGGTTTCACGCTTCAACACACCGGTGGGCTAAAGCAGTGAACTAATTGTCTTTTGTCAACGTGACACTTTTTTACTGATTGGCCGTGTCGGGTGGTGGAGGGTTACGACACATTTATAAATAACGCGATCTAAACCCAATAACGTTGATTATAAATTTCTTGTCTTTGTTTACATTCATTTTAGGGGCCATTGTTATTGATCTTATTTAAGTTTTAAATAAAAAAAGACGAAGTATTCAAGAGAGTTGTTTCTATAAGCAACAAACATCCAATATTCAAAAGCTAGCTGTCAGTTGCTCTCAAAATGCCCATAAAAGGGCGTCAGCGATTGGCTGAGGTCTGCTGCATCCACTAGGAGCGCTCCGATTGGCCGAAATCGGCTTCAGCGTGATATTGTAAACAC